ACACCAATCAGCATGATTATAAATGCCTCTACTTGGAAATATTTCATGGAAACCAATAAGATGTTCTGTCATCACAGAGCATCTGTCATCATAGAACATCTGGACCAGTTACTCTTTTTCAGTTTAGTCACCCGTGGGGCTGCTGTGAGCATAAAATGGAAAAAGGGCATTATAGCAATGCAAAATAAATGCCTGCCTGCCTTGGAGCGAACACAAAAGGCATGTATGGTAAGAGAGCAGAAACATCTAACAAACTTGATGGCGGGCCTAAAGCATCTTACTACCTGGGGCAGAACAATAAATGGCACCCCCTTCTCCCCAAATCAAGGTGATGGTTCCCAAGACCAGTTAGTTAAGAAGAGGAAGCCCCACAAGTGTCTCTTCCCTTCTCTGGCAGTGAAAAGACAACAGCGATGATGATAAATTAAGCAATCAGCAATTTGCTTCTCTTTCATGACACCCCAAATCAGCTGCCTAAAGCAATCGCCCCAGTGTGCCTAATGGTAGGGCCAGAACTGGGGGGGAGAGGTAGGCCAGTTGGTATGGGGTGTGCAATTTTGAGGGGGGCCTACTCCAGGTTGCCCTGGTAGAGGCAAAGGGGAACTCATTGGTAAAGATTAGCAAAATGGGAGCTACATTTCCCATCTGGCCTAGGGCTTCGCATGGCCTTGGCAACCAGTATCTTCCCATGACGCCTTGCACATGCTGAGAACTTTAAAGTATTTCAGGGGCAAATAGGTACTGCTACCTCAGCAACAGGGACGCGGGTGGTGCTGTGGGTTAAACCACAGAGCCTAGGACTTGCCAATCAGAAGGTCGGCGGTTCGAATCCCCGCAACAGGGTGAGCTCCGGTTGCTCAGTCCCAGCTCCTGCCCACCTAGCAGTTCAAAAGCACGTCATAATGCAAGTAGATAAATAGGTACCACTCTGGCAGGAAGGTAAACGGCCTTTCCGTGCACTGCTCTGGTTCGCCAGAAGCGGCTTAGTCATGCTGGCCACATGACCGGGAAACTGTACGCCGGCTCCCTTGGCCAATAAAGCGAGATGAGCGCCGCAACCCCAGAGTCAGTCACGACTGGACCTAATGGTCAGGGGTCCCTTTACCTTTTACCTCAGCAACACAGGTCTAGAAAGCACTCAGCATTATTTCTAACCCCAGCATAAAGGTCTGATAGTCGCTCTTGTGGACAGAACGCTGGTTTCCTAAGCATTGCTTTCTCAGACACAGCACTAGATTGTAGAATCTAGGTCCCTGGCTAAAGTCCAAGCAAGGTCAGAGAGTCCAGTACTAGCACACTGGCTTGGCTCCCAAACATTTAAGCATATATTTTTTTTTCCAGCAAGGGGGAACAGCAGAGGCAAAACAAACTTGAGTTTGTTGTTGCAACGTCAATGTGCAATTACGACCATAAAGAGGGCTGATGAGTGGTGTTTCCATGCTAGTGGCTCATTGTTTAGCCTGGTCATTTTGCAGCCTAATAAATGCTCATTAGTCTGCTCCACATTGGAACAAGTCTGGTTTTGATTAGGCTTGCAGTGAGCTGTCAGAAATGCAGACTATGCCAAATGAGCTCTTGTGGGTTAACTTGGGAGAGCCTATAAACTGTCTGCTGCTTGCTTCAATTAAGATCAGAAGGAAACATGACTCTCAGAGCTGCCAATGTTTATATACTTGATATGTTTTGAGACCAATCAATCATACCAAAGGAGTGGGGGAGGGAGAGGTTTGGGGTCACATTCTTTTTTCTTTGCACAAGACTAGTGCAACATGGATGTGGGTGTCCAATGAAATCTGCGCACAGTCACAGTCCCAACTAAGGACTGAGATGCAAGGGTACTACACAAACATGGCCATCTCTATTGCACCTCCAGATTAACGATGAGTGGAAGCTACTGAGATACCTTCAAGCTCACCCAAAGCAAGTAGATGGGATGAGAACACTTACATTTGTAGAAACGTACTCCTCCGTTTGTAGAATCTTTGATTTAAAAATTGAAATAAATAATAATAATAATTGCAGTTGTTTTCATGGTCATCTTCCAATTCAGCAAATGCAGTGGAAAAGCAATAAATGACGTTAATACACACACACACACACACACACACACACACACACACACACACCAAAATCAGCTTGGCTGATCTCGCATTTCTTAATTGTAGAACAAAATCAATGAGCACAAAGAATTAGCTGTTGCTTATCTATGGCTGGCATTTTATTAATTATTCTCACAGGCTGAAGAGTTTTCAGTGTGCATTTTAATTAGAGGGGACAGATGCCAGCGGCGGTTTCTCTAAGGCAACTTTTGCCATTCACTGAACTCTTCATTTATTTGATCAAATTGCAGGGCATGGGTTGCTGTTGTCTTTAAAGAAGAGGGTGAGAATGACATATTCATTCTGGTTCTGAAAAGCCTATTTGGCAGCAGCTGAGGGAGAAAGCTTGCCTGTGAAAATGTCCTGTCCTCAGTTCATTCCTATGTCCCCAAAGGGTTTAAATGCACTGTGTGTTCTAGCTGTGCCAAGAGGGCAGGCTAAGAATTAAGAATAAAGGCTGATGCTAGTCACTGTTTGATTAGATGCAGGAACTATTAACAGACTAGTAATTGACGCATTGCAAATATTTTGAGGAAGCTTCATAGCTGAAGACTATTATCTCCTCTATCCCTTCTGCTCTGTATGTCATTAGCAGGGATGCATCAGTGTCCCATTCCCTGTCCCCATTACTTCTACCATAGAATTATAGAATTGGAAGGGACCATGATTGGAAGGGTGATCTAGTCCAGCCCTCTGCAATGCAGGAATCTCTTGCCTAATGTGGGGCTTGAACCCATGACCCTGATATTAACAAGGTCACAAGTTCTATCTCCATATAGGACAGCTGCAGTCCTGCTGCATTGCAGGGGGCTGGACTGGATGAGCCTCAGGGTCCCTTCAACTCTATGCTCTACTGACTGAACCATCCCTTGATGAGCACCATCTGGCCATAGTGCATATTTCCAAAAGAGTGGGGTGGGACAGGGGGCTTACCTCTAAGAATACAGCCTAGGACCTCGTAACTACGGGACTGCCTCTTCTGGTATTCCCCGCAGAGGACCTTAAGGTCCATAAATAGCAAGGTCCCGGGCCCTAAGGAAGTCAGATTAGCCTCAACCAGAGCCTTTTCAACACTGGCTCTGGCCTGGTGGAACGCTCTGTATCATGAGACCAGGGCCCTGCAGGATCTGATTTCTTTCTGCAGGGCCTGTAAGACAGAATTGTTCTGCCTGGCCTTTGGCTTGGAATCAGTCTGATCCCCTTCCCCTTTCCTTTTTCCTTTCTCCTTCTGTGATGGAACTCCTATTTAGGGACTTCCTTGGCTTTTTTTCTGGCCCATGTAGGACCAGTCTGGATTGTTGGCCTTGGTGAAGATTTGACATTTTCACACTGAAAAAGTTTTTGATTTGAGTTTCTACTGAATTGAGGCTGCATTTTAATGTTGCATTTTAATCTTGTTTTTAAGTTGTGTTTTAATCAATTGTTTTTATACCTGGTGTTAGCCGCCCTGAGCCTGGTCTTGGCTGGGGAGGGTGGGGTATAAATAAAATTTATTATTATTATTTATTATTATTTATTATATTTCAACAGGAGATATAAGAAGTTGGATCCTGCTGCATAAGCAGAAGGTGCTTCTTCTCATGCAGGAATGAGGAGAAAGTATTATTATTATTATTATTATTATTATTATTATTATTATTCCCTACCTTTCCCCCCTGACAGAACTCAAGGCTGCTTCCAGGTAAAAATAAGAATTGCTACTGAATCTTATCTATGGTGAACAGGTATGGTATGACTCAAAGCAGATCTGAAGATAATAGATTTGGCACCCTGGCACGAAAATTAATGGGACACTTTATTGCGACTTATTATCTGTAATTGTGATGCTCCTTAACAATGAAAAACAGCAACATTTCCCATAACTTTGCATTTTTTCGCAATTTACGAAGTGACCTGCCTTTTAAAGGGTGGAGAGAGCATTCAACATGGCGGTTCCAAAGCTTTGCCACTTTTTCAAATGTTCCGCTTGTGGGATAACCAGCCTCATGTAACCTACGTGCTGAAGTCTAATTAACACATGAAGGGGTTAAGACCATAGAGTAAGCAGTCCTGCCAGCCTTAATTAGGTCACTCCTGCTCACCTTGGAAGAAAGCTAATGAAGCCTATTGTTCACCTTCAGTGTACCTGAGAAGCTCAGCATGTAAAGAGGTCTGAACTGGTTGCTCAAAGCTCAGACCCCATGGCTCTAACAAGCCTTTCTTGTACTCCTGAACCAATAATTCCCAAACTTCCACCACTGAAACAAAGACAAGTTTTACTGTTGTGTTTTCTGACTGATGTATGGAAAAGCACATAAATCTGACATCTGGAGAGTTTGTAAATCCATTTTTAACTTACCAAACGTGGTCTTTTCCTACCCTGGGAGAAGAGGGGAGTTTTGGAACTCACAAGGTCATATTTTTAAATCTCTGCTGGCATTCTCACCAAAGAGCACTTGTCCCAAACCTGGACCTTGGTATCCAGGAATTCTCCTTTTATACCTATTTTTTTCTTACCACCAACACTACTTCCATTTGAAAACACTGCAAAGCCTTACCCATTAGTGGCCAATCCTGAGCTAATTTTCCTTTATTTCACTGAGGTTAGAACAGTATCTGTGTGTGGCATGGGACTGCAGCCACTTAAACCTCTGACATTTATGACTTTTATCTAAAAATGTTTTACTAGCCTCTGACATTTTGGGAGCTGAACATGGATATATATTTGTTGGAGAGTTCGTTTTATTGATGTGTTGAACAAGATTGCCATCTAGTGGGAAATGTTATTTCTCTCCCCCTCTTTCCCCCCAATTAATTTTTATTAGCTTTCCTAATTTTAAATTAACAACAAATTAATACAGATCTAACACAAATTTAAAAATTGACTTTCCGCCCCTCTTCAAAATGCTTCCATTCCCTCCCTCCTTCACTGCTTACAGTAAAATACCTTTTCTTAATTTCTAATACTTTCCCATCAATTCCTATTTCCATCAGCTGTGCATGTTCAATTCCTGTTTAGACATCCACTTGACTATTTCCCCAATTAATCAAACAGAATTATTTTCCTTTATCAATCTGTATCTCACAATTTTAAATCATATTTCCTCCAATACAACTTAATCTTCAACAAATGATGCATTCTCAAAAGTCAAGTACATGTCTATTCATCCCTAACTGTTCATAATTTATTTCAATATTGTCCCACTACATATTTGAAAACTTTTATTGCAGTATCGTTTGATTATAAAACATTGTACAGGCACCTTATCCACAAGATAGTTCATGAAACACGGTACAATGTAAACATACAGCATCAGTACTGTATTCAAATGATGTATGGTAAGATATTTGCTACAAAATATTGGTTTTCCAGTGGACTTCATATATGAACACAAATTAAGAAAAAAAAATTCTGCAGTTAAACAGCAATTCAAAATATATGACATATAAAAAGATCACAAAAAAATGCTAATAGACAAACAAGATTATTTCTGACTTTACAGCAATGTGGTTCTGAAAGATATTGAAAAGTCTTCTAAAATATGACTGATGTGATGGCATCTTCAGATCAGTAGGTCCAAAATAATGGATGTCTATTATTAAATGTATGTATAATTTTCCTAACAGCTGGGAAACTACACTGCCAGACTGAGAGTTGGTGACTTGCCCATGGTCACCCAAAGATCTTCATGGCTGTTCCAGGTTTTTAAAAATACAGGCATGATCTCTGGGTTGACACTTAGCCATTTTACTACAGTGGTACCTTGGTTCTCAAATGCCTTGGTTCTCAAATGCTTTGGTTCTCAAACTCTGAAAACCCAGAAGTGTTCCTGTTTTGGAATGTTTTTGGGAAGCTAAACATCTGATGTGGCTGTCGGCTATTGTTTCCAGGGCACCTGCACCAATTAGAAGCTGTGCCTTGGTTTTTGAACATTTCAGAAGTCAAATGGACTTCCGGAACTGATTAAGTTTGGCGCTTTTGTTTTCGCTATTTATTTTGTGTTTTTGTTTTTGAGGCTTTTTTGATTAATGTGTGTTTGTTACTGTGTGGAACCCAGTTCAGCTAGAATACTGTCTTATTTATTTTATAGTACAGTACATTGATTATTGCTTTCATTTTATGGATCAGTGGTCTCGTTAGATAGTAAAATTCATGTTAAATTGCTGTTTTAGGGGTTACTTTTAAAAGTCAGGAACGGATTAATTCATTTTGCATTACTTTCTATGGGAAAGTGTGCCTTGGTTTTGGAACACTTTGGTTTTGGAACGTACTTCCAGAAGGATTAAGTTTGAGAACCAAAGTACCACTGTACATGGTTATACATGACCCCATCCTTCATTTCAAACCTAGATCTCTGACAAGGCCGCTCCATACATTAGTACCACAGAGATCTGGGAGCCACTTTCCTATGGCTTCTTTCCATGCTTCTTTGGTAACATCCTAATAAGGAGCTGTGCTCAGGGAGAGCAATAGTCACATGCAAATGTTGCCTGTTCCAAACAGTTGGTGAAGTTTGCATGGGAAGGAAGCACATTCACCACAAGTTGCCTACCAAAAAGTACAATGGAGTGAATAAGGGGACCTAACGTCATACTCCTTATTGTGGGAATGGCCCCAAAACAGAGCATATTCAGATCAGCACTGAACATTCATTTTATGCATTGGTATTGAGAATTTCTACATAACTGGTGGGGTAATGGCTACCTGGAAGGACCCAGGAATGTAAAATCTGAATGGGTCCTCATTTAATCCAGGATAGGTGAAAAGTTGCTTCAAATACACACCCACACCCACACACCAGTTTTAAAAGCTCTAATGTACTGCGTCTATTTAATCTTTCATTTTTTATATACCTTTCCACGACATATCACACACAAAATCATTGGTATGCATGAGGAGCAAATTTACGTCACTTGCATTCTCCATAAGCTTGTGCAGAGCATAAATCTGCTCTGAGTGTAGCTCAATGTAACAGCATTATCACCGATCACAAATAACACTGTATTGGAAAATCACATAGCATTAGCAATGCTTATCATATTCATTTCCACTGCCTAATGATTATTTTAGTAAACATTTTGAACCTGTGTCAGGTGCAATGCCTTACTAACACCTGGAACAGAATTTTGATTGGATGTCTCAGTATAATGTTTGGAATACTATCCTTCATGTATATGCTATTGAAATGTTTGTTAGATTTCCTTTAATCTAATCACCTGGATACGTGATGAAAGATAGTATATTCTCTTTACAGTGCTCAAATATAAACATAATAGAAATTCACACTGCTATGCAATGGCCTTGGTATGTAGATAAGCTTCACTTCATACCAGGGTCAAGTTCAGGTAGAATGGGAAACAATTTTTTTTTTTTTTGCTACATGAAAAAACTGACAAATCTTGGGTCTGCATGCTTCCCCCCTTTTATATGCTACAGGAGAAGGCAGGAAGTTTTCACTTCAAGTGTTAAACAAACCACAATTCTCTGACACATTCGAATTCGGAAACTGTGGCTTGCTTAGCCATGATTAGTGAGAACAGGACACTATGAAATCACCATTTGAGATCCTGGCTTGTTCTTACACCATACACTTCCCATCATCCCTGACCACTGGTCCTGTTAGCTAGGGATGATGGGAGTTGTAGTCAAAACAGCTGGAGGGCCGAGTTTGGGGGTGCCTGCTTTAACTAAACCACGGTTTTCCACATTCAGGTGTAGAACAATGGTGAGCTTACAGGTAGGAGTGGGAGCTTTTGATTGCCTCCTTATGGTAATGAAAGAGGTCTGAACCAATCCAGTATCCTTTTTAAAGTGGGTTTTTGTGGGGGTGGGGAGTTTAGCCTCCCCCCCAGCTTTTCTAATTTAAGTGTCAAAAATATGTGACTAAGCAAACAAGTGCTTTGAAACACATCTCAGGCATAGGCAAACTCGGCCCTCCAGATGTTTTGGGACTACAACTCCCATCATCCCTAGCTAACAGGACCAGTGGTCAGGGATGATAGGAATTACAGTCTCAAAACATCTGGAGGGCTGAGTTTGCCTATGCCTGACATATATCATACAACATGATTGCAACTCTCTATTAAATTTATCTTGGTGTAAAATTTCAATGTTTACATTGCCATAATCAAGGGCGAGTGTTTCTTATGCTTAAACTGGTTGCCAGTTCATTTCTTCAATGAGCTTTATTGGATGGAGACCTTCAAAGGTCTGCCCAGATCATGTAAACCAGTGGTGGAACAGCAATTTCAGTTGGTCTACATGACTATCACTTATTTGAAGCAGGCAATGGGGAATTTGCAACATTGATGTAAACTTCGCAGTATTCAGCAAAATTACAAAGTACATTAAATTGGGAAGAAGGTAAAGTTGACTACACTCCCTATGGAAACCAGAGGACTAATTAATGCGACTAGATTTTTCTTCCAGAGGGCAAAATAATTTCAGTGAAGAAAACCATGCAAAACTCATTCTGTTTTGTAGTAACAAAAGGAAATTCCACAATTTGCTCAAGCACCATGTCCGGAATCAGAAATAAGAGACTGGTCTCATTAGAATAATGTTCCGACCCATGTGGACCTTAGCTATATGTAAAAGGACAAGGACTCAAACAGTCATTGTGTTCCTTTTAGCCTTGCGGTATAGAAGAGAAAGAAACGCCCAGTCTCTTCGAAGAAAAACACTGTTATCAGCACCAAATGTTACAACTGGACAACAGACCAGCCGGAATATAATCTTCAAAATACAAATGTTATTTTTTCTTTAATTTAAAAATCAAACACTTTAATCACATTTTATGCTTTTATGACTGTGCTTTGTCCCAACAGCTTTTATTGGCATGAGCCAGCATTTCTACATCCCATTGATTTTTCTGGGACTTTAATGACCTTAACTTCACATCAGCTGAGCCCTAAATAAGCACCAAGTACTGTATCTCAAGTGGTAGCCTCAATGTATCATAGTGCTGAATACTTAACAGTCTTGTGAAGTGTATCATTGTGAGATAAAGATGATCTTGGCACTGCACTCCTTGTGACAGTAACTATTTTCCTGAAAGCGTTGCTAGAAGAGTGGTGTAAACAAGTTTTAAAAATCAAACAAATTTTTAAAAATGCCTATGCAAGTTTTAATCAGATTTGTTGCATTTATTCCCTTAAAAAACAACAACCCCAAAACCCCAAAAAACAAAACCACCCATACTAATAATCACCAATCCCCCATTCACTCCCCTTTTGGAGTGATTCAAAGCTGCTGTTCACATTATTTTAAGTGAGGTTTGAGGTACTCTCGGAACTGGAAGCGGCACCACAGAAGCAGATTGATCCAGATGTACAGAATCAAAAAAGCATATCCAGTTAACCTAAATTCCTATTGGAGAAAAATACATATTTCAGTATGTAACTTTTTTGGGGGGTAAACTTCTGCAATTGAAGGACTTCAAGATAGGACTGTATCGGCCATCCAGACATTATTTGTGTAAGTTGATCCAATAATGCTCTCTCTTTGAGGGTGGCAACTTGGCCAACAGGGCAAGCATGTCCACCCCAGAAATCCTGATGCACACACAAAAAGCCCTGCAGGCATAGAGCGATTAGCAGCAAACAGATTGTGTTGGGAGAGCCTTGTATCCGCTGGATTAAAAGCTCCCTTGCTTCCCCAACACATCTATGGAGTGTGATTGGACCCCAAGCACACATATTTCCCTCCACCCCATTGGTGTCAATCTGGCAGAAAACAGTAAAGAAAAGCTGTTTCGGGGTGGAGAAAGTTACCCAACCCTAGCAGGCCTATGAATGTGTAGTTGGCTCTACACCTATGTACATATGTGTGTGCATGAACACAAGCACTTTGGGTTAATCTGCGGTCAATCAAAGGGCTAGCAGCAGTAGTAATGGCAATGGAACTGGCTTTTATCTTAGAGGTTGAGCCAATTATATTACCGTAAGTATTATATTAAGTGTTGTTTAGATCTATGCTGGATTGCGGCTTTGAGAGATCATTAGTCTCCAGAAAGGCAGCTCTAAAAGATTTTGTATAATTACCAGAGATTTTGTATAATTACAACAAATATGAAGAAGGCGTCATGGTTTGGGACAATTTGGATGAAAGAATTCTATAAACAAAGACCAGAAGTCTGTCTACAACATTTAAAAAAAAAATGAAAATCCCATAAATGAAGACCAGTGTGTTCTGTTTTTTTATATATATGTATATATGTAAAAGAACACCCTGCAGATTGTTACATTATCTTTTTACTTGATTGCTCAAGCATTTCAAAGCCATGATCGTCTAAGTTCTGCACAGGCCCACTTACTTGGGCTCCCGCTCCTTAACGGGGAAGAGCTGCGGCTTCGGGATCGCTAAAAGACACACAAAACAGGAAAAATTAACATAGTCTTATTCCTCCCAACTCATTCTAAAAAGGCATTATGTTGTAGAAGCTAAATACAGCTAATACCACTGGGGAACTTAGACTCTTTTCTTATACTGCAGTGTGACTCCTTCCCACGTTTTGAAGGATAATCTGGGACCTGCTTGGTCACACTGAAAGAGGAGAAAATCTCTATACATCCTGCAGTTCTTTCCCAGATCAACATTACTCCAGTTCGCAGGAGGAGCGATGTTGACACGGGAAGGAGGAACAGCATATGATTTTCCCAAACAGCCTAGGATCTCTCTCTCTACCCTAGTGCCACTGGAAAAGGAGCTGTCCTGACTGTCACATGGCCAGCATTCCATGGAGGCCATTTTTGAATTGGGCAAGACTCAAAAATGGCATCCACTTACTGAAAATCTTGTGCAATTCTTCTTCACTTTATGATACGTGTAACAACCAATATTCCCCTTATATGGAACAATCTTGCAGGCCAAAAACCAGAATGGTGCTCCTGTACGTGAAGCAGCCTTCAGGCATGGGTCTCATGGGGGAAACCTGAACGGTAAGTAAACATGCTAGTTTTTCCTGCTTTCCTTGCCTTCCCACAAAAGGAGACAAAAGGGGTGGGGAAGAGAGGCTTAGCTGTGCTCACTTTCCTGCCAAGCCTGCCATGGAAAAAGCGGAGGGAGGAACACAGATTAAATAAATAACAACTCCTATATATGTGCGAGAAATGGACCAGGTTAACATTATTTAAAATGAGAGGTAATCCAATTTACAAATTAAGGGGAACAATAAATCAGCTTGAATCCTGCTTAACTGGTTTGCTTTTGGGTTCCGTGCTAATGTGGCTTTATTACTTAAGAAGATGGGATATCTACAAGCTCCACAAACCTGTATATAACTCATTTGCTCCTCCCTTTACTGAAGCAGGAAAACAACCCAGGAAGGTAAGCATAACTTCCTGTTATGTATAGATTAGGAACTATGGATAATGGCTTCCAAACAAACCAGGATATGAAGCCATGATTTAAAGAAGATGGCATGTGAATCCTGGATTGTTTGGAAGTCAATAACCATAGATCCCAGTTCACACATAAGAAAAAATGATGGCTAATTGCAGCTTCCGAGTTAATTCCCCCACTTGTGGGAACAGAGAGGTAAAGAGGTTGTGGGCAGGTGCACAGAGATTGTACATATTCTGGTTTATTAAACCAGGATATGACTGGTTAAACCAGACCATAGATTAACGTTGCTGAAGAGTATCCATTTTTTATTCCTTCACATCATGCCTTCATTGCCACAGACAAGAACACTCAGCCTGTTAACAGCGGTGATTGAGTCACAAGGATTTAGCAGTGCGCTATTTATACATATACTGTTAAAATTAAATTCAGAGAGTGCTGAGAAGCTTTTGAAGGAATAGAGGGCTCCCTATTTCATATGTGCATATAGTATGCACAACATCAATGGTAAATTACAGAATGGCAAATCCATTAGCCTAAACAGCCATGAGGTCGAAACACATGCTGTGAACACACCCAGTGTTTTTATTCATGGATTAATTCACGAATGCTGATCTTTTACTTATTTATCTTCTTACTTTTCTTACCCGCCCTTGACCGTATGGTCCCAGAACAAGTTACAACACTATTACAATCAGTTAAAACAATTTGCAACTAGAAGAATAGGGTGGGTCCTAAAAATATCTCACGGGCTAAAAACCGCAGCATCTTCAGCATATGACAAAAGCTATACAATGATGGTTTCAGATGCCCTTCTGTGGGGAGAGAATTCCATAGTATAGGGGCTGCCACAGAGAATGCCCTCACCCAGGCCACCACCACCTGCATCTTTGAGGGCTGAACTACCAAAAGAACCCCTCTTCCAAACTAACACCTGAAAGGATATCTAGGAAAGGGGGAGGCCTTTCAGATATTTTAGTCTTAAGTCACTAATGAGAGCAGCTGGAATTGAACCTGGAAACAAACACTCCTAACCACTGAGGACACCTGTGCAATGTTGAATCCAGTAGGAATCCCAAGGTATGTTATCTGTTTCCTCCAGAAGAGTGAAACCCTGCCTGGAACAAGAAATCTCCCCATCCCTTGGACCTAAGAACTCAGAACTTTCTTATCAGGATTCAGTTTCATTTCATTGGCCCACATCCAGCCCATGCAAGCCTCCCAGGACCAGTCTAGCAACTGAACCACATTTCCTGATTTCAGGTGGAATGGAGAGACAGAGCTGGGCATCACTCACATATTGAGGAAACCTCACTCACAATGACAACCCCCATCTGTTTCAAACAGATGTTAAATGATGTGGGGATAAAGATGGAACCCCACAAGGCTACTCCCATGGCACCAAAAAATGGGCCCCCATAATTAATTTATAGAAACAGCCCGAGCTTTTGGATACAAACCACACCTCCCAGAGGTGTTGTAGAAGGATACTGGGCCAAGGATATCAAAAGCCACAGAAAGATAAAGGAGAACATAAAGGGCTGTAGTCCCCTCTCTCTTTTCAGACACATGTCATCAGCCAGAATAAATAAGGCAGATTTGGTACTATGACCATGCCTGAAATTGGATTGAAATTGGTCTAGTTTCCTCCAAATATACCCAAAACTGAGTCACCACTGAGTCCAAAAAGATATTCTCATGCATTCGCAGACAGATGATGAGGGGTAGGCTTGTGCCCATCCTGTATAGATTGGTAAACACATCTGTCTATACTTCCCTCCTTCACAAGTAAATCCCCAATCTTTTACCATGCTGAGCCTGCCCTCATCATTCAACGCTCAAATCACAAAGGGGCATAAGCGCCCCCCCTCAGCCCCCTTTCCTTTTTGCAATACCTCTCATTTACCACTGGCTTTGTTTTTATCTTGGATTATTACGTTGATCAGGCTATTCTACTTTACCAAATGTCGGGAGTGGCCTGCACTAGGAGAGAGGGGCCTCAAGCTACAGCTGCGGCTGCGGCTTCGGCTGCGGCTTCTGCTTCTACCCCTTTGAGACCACTGAAACAAAATATAGAATATGAGAAAAGGTATATTAAGCAAGCAGCAGTCACTGTGGTCACATTATGTAAGAGGAAGGCTGCTCTCCGAAAGAAAAGGCTGGATTCGCATGACTCTAACGTGCTTCCCAGTTAAGGCCTCATGTGCGGGCAGAGGGCCTTCTCGGTAGTGGCACCCACCCTGTGGAATGTCCTCCCATCAGATGTCAAGGAAATAAACAACTATCTGACTTTTAGAAGACATCCAAAGGAAGCCCAGTTTAGGGAAGTTTTTAATGTTTGATGCTTTATTGTATTTTTAATATTTTGTTGGGAGCCGCCCAGAGAGGCTGGGGAAACCCAGCCAGATGGTGTGGTACAAAAAAATTATTATATTCTTGGGAGTTGTTCCATACACAAGCCCCTTTGAAATCTCAGCTCCTTCTGGAAACACCACTGGAACTACAGGTTGTGCAAAGCAGTATAACAGCCTACATTGGTGGAAGGGACTACTTCTTGATAACTGCTCCAAGCATATTCTCAGCTCAGTCATGAAAGGGACTGACTAATAAGAAACATACCAATGTCAGTGTCATAATCCAAACCACTGTTGGTGTAATCCACAACATGCTGGGTTGATGGGTGCTGGGAGTTCAATTAACAGCTGGAGGGCCATAGGTTGCCCATATGTTACTGGGTAAGGTTCACAGTTCTTGTATTAACTTACATGTTGCAGGATATCTTAGATACTACCTTATATCCCAGCCCAGTCACTCAGATCTTTGAGAGAGGCTCTGCTGATGGTTCCCCACAGCTTAGATGCATGGCTTGTAACTACTAGAAACAATGTGTTTGGTGTAGAGGCTCCAAGCCTGTGGAACTCTATCCCAACTGACATTAATCAGGCCCCCTCCTTGCTTTCTGTGGATGTTTTTTATGTACACAACTAGAAATGCAAATGAAGGGACACGGGTGGCGCTGTGGGTTAAACCACAGAGCCTAGGACTTGCCGATCAGAAGGTCGGCAGTTCACCCTGCGATGGGGTGAGCTCCCGTTGCTCGGTCACAGCTCCTGCCAACCTAGCAGTTCGAAAGCACGTCAAAGTGCAAGTAGATAAATAGGTACCGCTCCGGCGGGAAGGTAAACGGCCTTTCCGTGAGCTGCTCTGGTTCACCAGAAGTGGCTTAGTCATGCTGGCCACATGACCCGGAAGCTGTACGCCGGCTCCCTCGGACAATAAAGCGAGGTGAGTGCTGCAACCCCAGAGTTGGTCATGACTGGACCTAATGGTCAGGGGTCCCTTTACCCTTACCTTTTAGAAATGCAAATATAGTCATACAATGGATCCTGAACGCCTTGGTATTCAGACATTTTGGATCCTGAACACCGCAAACGCGGAAGTGAGTGTTCCGGTTTGCAAACATTCTTTGGAACCTGAACGTCCAACGGGGCTTCCAATAGGCTGCAGGACCTTCCTGCAGCCAATCAGAAGCCGCACTTTGGTTTCTGAATGTTTTGAAAGACGAATGGACTTCCGGAACAGATTCTGTTCGACTTCCAAGGTACGACTGTAACTAGGTGGTATATAAATGCCTAAAATAAGTAAAGACATCTCCAACATAAATCAGCCAAACTCGGTGGGATAGATTAGCAAACAGAAACAGATCTCTGCTCATGGATTCACCCTTCTGACTACCACACAGAAGGGTGTCGCCTAGGGGCAAGGATACTACTCATGGGAAGGAGCTGGTGCTCCAGAATACCAGCTAGTTTGTGAATTGCTTCATTCAGACATTTCTGGGATAGAATCTATGACCTGGACCCAAACTTTGCTTCTGTAAATAAAGCAAAGCTATGTTCACAGAGCAGGGCTTTTTCAGCCTCCCTCTCCCCTCTGCAGAGCCCTGTGCCTTGCCCCAAATCTCCTGGAGGTTTGGGGCCTTTGGGAATGGCTTGGGATATGTCACAGGGGCCTGCAGATGGAAGAGGAGTTGGCAGTAATCACCACCTCATTACTGGAAAGCAATTTAGGATCCAAGTCTATGAGTTTAAATCTTTACCAGAGTAATGAAGAATACCTACCACAGCGCCTCTTCTTGTGACTGCCTCTCCTTTCACCAGGACAGTATCTTCTTCCATAAGAGCAGGCCATACATGATAGGCCACCAAGGGAGCTGTAAATTCAGAGTCGTAGCTGCGACGATATCTGGTGAGGTGCAAAGAGGTTTAGCTTACAGCAGAGTTAGCAGTCCACATGCTCCTCTTGCAGTTACTTTATTCCATCTTCTTTCAAGTAATTCAGAACAAGGGCACATGGAGCTATCCCAATTAACTTTTTAAAAAATCAGGTGAATACATAATAAAAGAAAAACAATAACACCCCCTCCCACAAACACATTTAAAAGGCCAAAGAATGTTAAATCAGCCAAAGGCCTGGTTATAGAGAAACATTTTTTGCCTGGTACATAAGGATATGTAATTTTATTATTATTACTATTTATTGAATTTATATACCACCCTATACCTAGAGGTCTCAGAGAGGTTCATAGAAAAGAGCTGACATTCCACAAACAGAGAGCCACTGCAGAAAAGGCCTGTCCCATTCTCATGTTGCCGCCCTCCAGACCTCTTTCAGAGGAGACACATGAAGAAGGGCCTCAGATGATGATCTCAGGGTCTGGGTCAGTTTGTATGGAGAGAGGTGGTCCTTGAGACATTGTGGTCCTGAGCGGCAATGTACGTACACAATGTGGCACAGGCCACTTCTGATCATATGTGTACGAAGTGACTAACAAGAGAATGCACCTTGCCAAGTTTCTAATTACTTATTATAACTACAGTCGTACCTTGGAAGTCAAACAGAATCCATTCTGGAAGTCCGTTTGACTTCCATAGCGTTCAGAAACCAAAGCGCAGCTTCTGATCGGCTGCAGGAAGTTCCTGCAGCCAATCGGAAGCCCCGCTGGACATTCGACTTCCAAAAATAGTTCGAAAACTGGAACACTCACTTCCGGGTTTGCAACGTTCAGGAGCCAAAATGTTTGGGAACCAAGCTGTTTGACTTCCAAGGTATGACTGTATTAAATAACATTCACAATAACATTAACATTAACATTCACAATAACCAGGCTAAGGGCCTTCTTGGTAGTGGTGCCCTCCCGGTGGATCACCTTCCCTTCAGATGTCAAGGAGATAAAGACCTGCACAACTTTTAGAAGACCCCTGAAGGCAGCCCTGTTGCGGGAAGTTTTTAATGTCTGATGTTTTACTATGTTTTTATATATGCTGTAAGCTGCCCAGAGTGGCTAGGGAAACCCAACCCGATGGGTAGAATATAAATAATAAAATTATTATTATTATTATTATCATTATTATTAAAATTAGCTCTAATTCAGCATGTACAAACAGAACTGACATATGATTGGAGGCAGTAATGCTTTTGAATATGCTTTTGGAAACCACAAGAGGGGAAAGGTTGTTCCTATGCTCGAATCCTGTTTGGGGGTTTTCCATAGGCAATCTTGCTGGCCACTGTGAGAACAGGATGTGCAAGTCGATGGGCCACTGGGCTGATCCAGCAGGCTCTTCTTCTATCCTTACGCGCTGCCATAACTTTGGCACACTTTATTTTTCCACTGGAAACACAAGACCGCATACTTTCATTCCACTCACTTGTACTCGCTGAAAAGTTCTCCATCCGTACCAAAAGAAATGTCAAGTGGAGGATCCAAAGTCTGCATTGAAAAGGCGACGCGACACAACTCGCGTATTAAGCCGCTGATCATGATAAAATCGGTTTCCGGTGGGAAGGAAATCTTAGGGTTGATATTCATTGCACGAATGACCTCCTGAAAGGAAAGGGACAGAAACGGTTCATTTTCTAGAAAATGCACAAAACTGAACTTACCAAAATTTTTGTAAGTGAGAGAGAATACAATTAATGTGTCCAAAGTGTCAATTGCCCTACTCATGAAAGTTGTCATATGTACATGGTGTTCACTGGTGGTTTCTTGGGAGCAGGGTGGCAGGAAGGTATCATCTACACATTTCTCAAGTTTCATTAAGCTAAGCAGAGCATTGGTAGGATACAATGTTTTGAATGAATGAATGAATGAATCTTTATTTGCATCAGCCATTGGCCATAGCAATAAAACAACAATACGATATACAAAGAATAGAAATAAAAAGTCAGTTATATAAAATACATTTTAGGGTTTTGAATCAATAGTCAAATAGTGGATCTTATACTGATTGCTCCAGCTAAAAACCTTGCAACCTTTGCTGTCATCTGCTCATCTTGATCTGCCAAGAGAAAGGACACTGTGGCAGTGGCTGGGCGACCCAGAATGGACAATAAAAGAGAAGTGATAACCTTATTCCTCAAGTCTTTATAAAGAGTGCAAGCCAGAAGGACATGTGCCACTGATTCGGTACTGCCATCTCCACAGGGACATAAGCGTTTTTCGTGTGGAATCTGTTGGAATCGTGCCTCAAGTACAGCCGAGGGCAATACACATTCAATCTTGCGAGAGTAAAAGCACGTCTGTATTTTAGAATTGCTAGGTTATGTAGATAGGATGCCAGAGAGTCAAAATGGGAAGGTGGCCATGGTATGACTATTATCCAAAGGGATAGAATGTTCTCACAGACTTACGCAGACGCTGGCTTGAACATCGTACAGATCCTCCTGGCGAACAATGTAGTCCATGACCATGTCTTCAAGCGATTCAGGCCCTGAGTAACTTAGGGACAGGGTTTTTCGAACACGCATTTTGAACTGTCTGAAGGCCATCTTTGCGGCACGGAAAGATTCCTGCAAATGATAAAATAGTTAGTTACATCTAAAAGCCCAAGAAAACAGAGGCCATTTGCCGTATTGGCCTGCATATGAGCCGCACCCGCAAATAAGCCGCACTTTTAAAATTGAAGGGGGTTCAAAAAGAAAAAAAAAATACCTGGGCTGCTTCCTGGGGGGGGGGGGGGGAAGCTGCGCTGCTTTGCTGGTGGCATAAGGTTGTGAATATAAGCTACACTTTAGCTTTTCACGGTCGGAATTTGGGGGGGAAAGTCAGGTTTATATTCGGGCCAATACGGTAAATTTTCTGAATCCTAACTTCACAGGTAGAGTAATTGCTCCTCAATGTGATAATTCATCTTATATAGTAACCCTGCTCCAGCTCCAGCTCCAGAGCTTGCATCTGGACATCCAATAATAGCCCTTGAGTCCTTGCGACACAAAAAGTTATGCCACCATATCTTTCCGTGATGGCAAGTTATCATCACTTCTGCTCCAGGGGTCTTAAAAAAATTTAAATCTACAGAAAAACTAACAAAGTATTCTACTACTTCAAAGAAGAAAGAAGAAAGATAGAAAACTGAACATGGTCAGGTAAGGAGATGAAATATATAAAAAAGATGAAAGAAACTTGTACAAAAGAGGCAATTCAGCAATATTCCAAGACAAGGCATAAACAGCAGATCAAAAACACCTATAATCAAAAACAGCACCAGACAAAATCATATTTGGATGGAATTTGCCATCCGTGTGACTGTTGGGTTCTTAAATAAATAACAAAAAAACCACCAGACAGTCACAAAGTGAATTGGGTCTGTTTCCCCTCGGAGAACCCAGAGTTGGTTGATCAATCTCTATGATATGGCTATAAAGAAGGCTTTTAAAAACTAGTTTGTAAGAGTATATGTGGAAGCATTCTACCAGCCTTGAGCCACAATTCCACTCTGTTTTACCTTCAAATGTGATCCCATTCATTCCTAAGCTCCTCTATACCAGTACAAGTTTTTAAAATGAGACTGCTTGCCATATTAGAGGTTTACAATAACTTTCCATTTCAGCAGTGAGACCAGATGCCAGAAACTCCCGCAATGGAAAGAGAAGCTAATGAACTGACAGTGCAACCCTGTATATGTCTGCTCAGACTGCACTGAGTTAAACAGAGCTCACTCCTAGGTGTGTTTAGGATTGCCAACTGACTGTTGTCGACTCCAGCTGATGCAAAAATAAGGTTTGTCTACCACTAGGTTATGTGAGTGAGTGACTCTGAAAAGAAATATTGTTACACTTCCTACCACAACTGCAGTATAGATTATTCTCTGAACCATCTCCAGATCGTCGACATAACTTCTCAGGAGGCTTTGAGCATCCAAGCGCTCCTGAGCATAAATGTCACTGAAGCGTTCCACAAGGCGAGCATGTCGGGAGGCGTTTGTAAGTCTCGCTCGTCCAGGTGAGGAACTTCTCTTGGGAAGCGGACTAGGTGATCTGCTTCGGATAGATCTCGGGGAAGGAGATCGGCTTAGTGCAAGTCTGGAACAAAATTTTAAAATCACATTAATGGAAGATCTTTATCCTTACAAATGTATGTTCTAGACCAGCGGTTCTCAACCTGTGGGTCCCCAGATGTTGTTGGACTACTTCTCCCATCATCCCTGAGCTCTGGCCTTGCTAGCTAGGGTGATGGGAGTTGTAGTTCAACAACATCTGGGGACCCACAGGTTGAGAAAGGCTGTTCTAGACCAAGGGTAAGGAACCTGTGGGCCTCTCCCATCAGCCCCAGAAAGCATGGCCTATGGTCAGGGATAAGGGAAGTTGTAGCCCAGCAATAACTAGAGGGCCATAGGTTCTCCATCTCTGGTTTAGCCTATTATCTCAAGAAGCAGAATTTAGAGAAAGAGAACTTTCAAAACCAGTTTATTCATTAAAGATGATTGTTGTTATGCCTGGAGAGAGACCTGTATTTTTCTTTGCTTACATTACTCTACAAAGCATTGTGTAAACTGATGCCATCATCATGAAATAATCCATTGCTCTGAGCTACAATTTTTTTCAGTTCCATCAATAGATATCTAAAGTCCCCCTTAGATAACTTGAAGCATAGCATCTCTGGAGCCAAGCCATAATAGGTCGATAGACGACAAAGCAGTTCTTTTCACACAATGGAACTTGTCTTCTTCCTTCTCTCCCCAAGGGGCCCATGCCCTCCCCAAATCTGCTCTGGAGGGCTGGGGGAAACCCCAAAAACCGATTTAGAAGGCGCACAGAAGGTGCATGAGGAGAGGGAGGGAAGTTCATCTCCTTGTGCAAATGGTACTAATTTGTTGGTTTTCGTGGCTACTTAAATCAGATGAAAACCCTTACCTGTTTTGGAGAAGAGATTTTTGAGCACCAAGGATGGCAATCTCATCCTTCAGGGTTTGAAGCTGCTGCTCATAATCACTCATTCGGTCCAGATTTTTCAAAGCACACTCTTCTTTTACCCGAGAAGCCTTTAGCCTTTAGCACATACACACAAAAAATAATTCCAATCAAAAGAGGTGTTTCTACAGCAATCAATATCCTGCTTTTAAACTATACCAAGTAATCTATTTGAAAGAGCTTATAAAACCATGAAGAATTTCAGAGTGATCACTATGCAGCAAGGGGAGTGCAAAATGAAGCTTGTCGTATGTACATTTTAGATATAAACCAACCATTTTTGCCCACCAAAAGCAACGCGAAATTTCTCAACTCACTTTTCAAGTTGTAATGCCACAAAAATAGGTTTAGGGATGTACCGGTAATTATGTAGTATAGTTGCTTAGGGTATATATGTTACAAGCCAAGAACCTCCTCATCCTGCCTCCTTCTGCTTCTCAATCTCTCTTTGGGGTTTGATACCAGAGACCGTGGCATCCTTCTGGACCAGCTCTGGGTGATGAGTATTTAGGGCACTGTTATAGAACAGGTCCATTCCTACCTAGAAGGTCATACTCAGATAGTAGCATTGGATGACTGTGTTTCAGCTCCATGATCTTTGTGCTGTGGTGTCTCACAAGGAATAACTTTGCCCCAATGCTGTTTAACACCTATGTGAAGCCACTGTGTGCACTAATTCTAAGACAAAGTGTCATCAACATGCCAACGACACACAGCTCTACTTCTCCATAACATCTGAGTCAGGGAGGCTGTACACAAGCGGGACTGTTGTCTGGGTGCAGCGGGGGGACTGGGTGATCACCAATAATCTGAGCTTGTGTGATCTTATTTTATGATATTGTATTTTTAACTTTTTATGGCAATATATTTATGAAGGGCAGGCTATAAAAAAATTAAGTAAATAAATAATCCTTTAGCAAGAGACAGCTTTCAAACACACACACACACACACACACACACACACACACACATCAAAACACAAAGTTATACATTTTGTGTAGTCATGTGCTGCATATGTACAAATGTAATACATTTATATCACATGATCTATCATCATTCAATTACAGTGGTACCTTGGGTTACATACACTTCAGGTTACAGACTCTGCTAACCCAGAAATAGTGCTTCAGGTTAAGAACTTTGCTTCAGGATAAGAACAGAAATTGTGCTCCAGCGGCGCGGCGGCAGCAGGAGGCCCCATTAGCTAAAGTGGTGCTTCAGGTTAAGAACAGTTTCAGGTTAAGTACAGACCTCCGGAACGAATTAAGTACTTAACCCGAGGTACCACTGTATTCTACACTTGATGTCTCCCCTGTAAAGGGGGAAACCAACTCTGAAGACTGATATTAGAGAACAGGCAACATTTTCAACAAGTTATAATTATAGAAAAACAGGCTCACCTAAATCACAAGAACAGTGTCGTGTGTTTGTCAGGAAAAATCTAGCGACATAGCTTAGATAAGCTAATTTAAGATCATCAATGAAAGTAACTTGAACAGACTTTCATTTGGATTTGAGGAGTAACAAGACCCAAACCATTCAGTACACAAGGCATGGCTAATTGATTTTCTACGCACATTGGCACCACAACCAAAGAGTCATGTATCTGACCTCAAACTGCCTCAGATTTCTTACATGGGGACATTCATGCTTCAGGAAGAACAGAAACAAAATGCATCATAGGCTTGAGTTTTCTCTACACAGATTACTGCAAATATAAAAGATGTGCCTAAGCTGCAATTTGCCAGGCAAAGATATGCTGAAAACCAGAGGAAACTATGTATAAATGCTTGATGTGCTTAAAGACCGTGGGGGCACATCTACACCACCCATGAAATAGTTTAAGAAGAATTCAGAGAATTGCAGATTTGTACTGAGAAGTTATGGCCGATATTCAATGGGAAAAACTATGGCAGCTCAGCAAATTGAAAGTTGCAGTGTCAACATATATTGTTAACCACACGTGGCTAACCTGTGGTCCTCCAAATGTTGTTGTAAGTCCCATAATCCCTGACAACTGGCCAAGAAGGCCAGGGCTGATGGAAGTTGGGGTCCAGTGATTTCCAGAGGGCAACAAGTAAGCCCCATTATCGTAAACCAACTAAAAATAGCCAGCCACACATGATTATATTTTGCTCACATTATAACCAAAGCTCTTCTTTTCAGAGATTGGTACTGGGAGGAAGATTCATCAGCATTTGCCTAAAGCAAACTCAGTTCTTCAGCTGTTTTTGGACTACAATTCCCACCACCCCTTACCACTGGTCCTGCTAGCTAGGGATGATGTTCAAAAGCAGCTGGAGACCCAAGTTTGGGAAACCCTGGCCTAGAGCAACAGAAAATGGGGCAGTGGGAATCAACATCACACAATGGCTGTGTTTGTACATCCCACTAAACCATGATTTAGCACAACATGCACAAGTCGCAACAAGCCTGAGCAAGCCCTGGGCTCCCATGGTCTTTCTCCTGCACAGCCAGGATGAAGAATTTGGAAGCCTCCCCCCCCCCCACTCTTTCAGTTTCCATTGAATTTGGCTTATTACTTCATCCAAACGCAGCTTTGCTGTTTATTGCTAACTACAGTAAATTTCAAAACAAGCCAGTTTCAAATCATGGGTTATGAAGCCGGCTTGTTTAAATAAACTGTGTCTTATTCCTTGTTCAGATGCAACAACAAGCCACGTTCATTTCACAGCACTGTGATGTTACAAATGTAACCAATGTGACCAACCACACAAAGATAATCCAAAACCAACTTTGCCAGCCACCGTGTTTTCCTTACTCTGCTTTTAGCTGAACAATTTCATCCTCTGCTGCCAAAAGAGTGGTGGCGGATTTGGCCTTTGTGTCTTCAAGAGCCACCTGGGCTTCTGCTAAACTGCAAGAGAAATCAACACCCAGAGATACGCCTTTAATACAAATGGCACAAATTCTGCTAACGCATGCAACGAAACAGGAAATAAAATCTTAGAAGGGTATTTGCATTTGGAAAAACAAGTACACTGCAGAGCCAGCCCGTCAACACATAAGCACATCAGCTATAACAACCACAGCAGTAAACATCAACAAACACCAATTCCAAACTCAGGGCAATTTTTATGCTTAGGCAATTTTGCTTACAAAAGCCAGTATTTGTACACCTGCTGCAAGCATGTATTTCAGGTCACTTCTCTCAAAAACCAGCATTTGAACCTGTCTTACGCCATTGGCCCATTGACTCCAGGAGCGATCTTCCCCAGGTTTGATCCCTGAGATCCTTTAACTGGAGATGGCTGGAAAGTGAACGTTTGACCATCTATACAGTACAAAGCATAGGCTCTGGATTCATCCTAGCATATGAATTGATCGTTAAATCTGTGTCCATACTTCTCACAGATTGGCAAACACCATCTAACAACACTGCTTATTCATTCCGCTGCCTACACAAACACAAAAACAATCATATACACACTCCCTCCTCAAATCCCAATTCAATAGATTATCTCTGTATCAATTCCTCATGTCTTCTTTCATACACAGGCTGTACAGAGAAAGGGAACCAATTCTTTCACACAGCCGTGATAAACCATTGTTGTTGTTTTGTGTGTGTGATCAGTGCTTTTTCCCAGGGGGATGCATAGCCCTAAACATTTTCTGAATCTAAGTTTGACCTCATGGAGGGGCAGTATTTCAATATGAGTAGGAAAACGAGAGTACCCCTAAACTTTTTTTTTAGAAAAAAAGCACCGTGCGTGATTATTAGAACAAAGGTGAAAGGACAGAGATACAACAAAGGTTGTTGAAGTAATTGATTTGAACGTGTCACACTATCAAGAAACAGAACACACATCTAAAAGCAATTGCAATTTCACTCCCTACATTGAAGATCATTCTGAACGTGTGTCAATAGATTAAACTGAAAAGCTGTCTATATAGATGAACTTTCAGAAACTGACTGGCTGCAACAGTGAAAATAAGCTTTAGGGGACTCATTTCCAGCGTTGTGAAAGAAGCGAATTCCGTTCAGCTTTTAAAAAAGAATGCTATAAACGTATAACAGATATATTGTGTTATTCACCTGAGATTAGCTAAAATGTCACCGAAGAGCACATTACTGGTATATTATGAAATAAAAGACTTGGTTGTATGTCTTTTGATCTAGGGCATGCTCACACAATACTATTCAAGCTCTTGAGTCAACATTATAGCTTGTAACCGGAATATAATAAATAAAGAAGTACCCTTTCATCTGGGAAACTTCTGCACCAAAAACAGGAAACTGTCAACGTAGCACCAACCGATCCTGGACCCAGAAACAACCTTCTGAGCTGCATTGACAGAAGGGGACTGGACCGGTTGAATTATCCTATAAATGTGAACTGTTGGGGGGTTCAGTATGCTTCATAAGTTCATGTGGTCCACCCACATAAGCAGTTTACAGGCATGCTTCTATTCTACATCTGTGGAATCATCACAGCCATTACAGTGGTACCTCGGAAGTCGAACAGAATCCGTTCCAGAAGTCCGTTCAACTTTCAAAATGTTCAGAACCCAAGGCGCGGCTTCTGATTGGCTGCAGGAAGCTCCTGCAGCCAATTGGAAGCCGTGGAAGCCCTGTTGGATGTTCGGGTTTCAAAGAACATTTGCAGACAGGAACACTCACTTCCGGGTTTGCGGCGTTTGGGAGCCAAAACGTTCACGTCGCAAGGCGTTTGTGAACCAAGGTACTATTGTACTTAGATAAAGATGCAATTAACAAAGTCCAGTTAGGAAAAGGTGGGTTGGAAATGTCATTGTGGAAATATTATTTTTAAAAGTGGCTTTTCACCACCATGTGGTGGCTTAAAAGGCTTTCACTACAGCCACAAAACTGCAATTCCACTTATCCTTATAGTTCGACACCTTAGTGCACGAAAAATGTATGAATGGAAAAAAGTTAATTGTCCTACTCTTGTTGTACAAAACTGAGCTGTAAACGAGTGCTGTTCAGCTCTTTCTCCAGCTGATGTATTTCCTGGTCCCGGGTGCAGGCCAATTCCTTCATCCATCTGTCTTTTTCACGTGATTCCTACAGTGAAGTAGAAACACAGTGTGTAAAAGCTAGAAATGAATGTATGTCCGGGGGCGGGGGGCAGGCAGGGAGTTCTGTTAATGGTTCAGAAATATTGTGATATATCTTAAACTGATTTTAAATAAAGTGCTTGCATTTTATTCAGTAAAAGGAAACACAAGCTTCGGGAGAAATTAGCTTCTATCAACAATGTTTGCTACACAGCAAAGTCTACTTGAAAGTGGAGAGAAGCCCCTCACCAATAAGAAATTTCACCTCCAAAGCACGCCTGATCTCCACCCCAATCGTTCAGCCCGGACACTGAGGTCCAGCTTCGAGGGCCTTCTGGCGGTTCCCTCACTGCGAGAAGTGAGGTTACAGGGAACCAGGCAGAGGGCCTTCTCAGGAGTGGCACCCGCCCTGTGGAATGCCTCCCATCAGATGTCAAGGAAATCAACAACTACAGTGGTGCCTCGCAAGACGAAATTAATCCGTTCCGCGAGTCTCTTCGTCTAGCGGTTTTTTCGTCTTGCGAAGCAACCCTATTAGCGGCTTAGCGGCTTAGTGCTATTAGCGGTTTAGCGGCTATTAAAAAGGCTTAGCGGCTTAGCTGCTAAAAGGCTATTAGCGGCTTAGCGGCTTAGAAAAAGGGGGGGAAAGCGGAAAAAAATCTCAAGACTCGCAAGACATTTTCGTCTTGCGAAGCAAGCCCATAGGGAAATTCGTCCTGCGAAGCGCATCGAAAAACGGAAAACCCTTTCGTCTAGCGGGTTTTCCGTCTTGCGAGGCATTCGTCTTGTGGGGCACCACTGTACCTGACTTTTACAAGACATCTGAAGGCAGCCCTGTTTAGGGAAGTTTTTAATGTTTGATATTTTATCACTTTTTTATTCTGCTGGGAGCCACCCAGAGTGGCTGGGGAAACCCAGCCAGATGAGTGGGGTATAAATATTATTATTAGGCTAATATTTCCATTATACAAAAATATAAAACAGCCACAGTTCTCAACTATGGAAGACTTCCACAAAGCAGCTATAGATTAGAAAAGTAACAATAAGACATTACAGGAAAGTCACCTTCCACCTTCCTATGGGTGCATCTCTGCATCCAACCTATTCTAGAAAAAAGGGGGAAATTAAAAGTTTATTGTACCTGCAAGTGAGAAGAGCTTCCACAAGTGTGGCTAGAAAAACAAGTGCCCAGCCATGGCAACAGACGAGACTTTATTGTATCCACACCAGCATAATGTCCACCTGGGTCAATGAGTGAAAGAGAAAGGAAGGGCAATAAATATTGATAAAATGTTATAAATATCTGGGCACAAGCTAACCATCACCTGTAATAAATATATGCACATAAACCATACATGCAGAGCTTGGAACAACCTCACCTTCTTGGCTTGTTTTATTCAGGATTGTGAAGAGCTGCCCCTGAATCATGGAGTTCAGTTCCATGATTTCACAGCATCGGGTCAGATTCTGATCACATGAGTTAATCTGAAAATTAGAATTACTTTGGTTATGCCAATTTTGCCAATATATTGCACCTTCATTATTCCTTCCACCAACGGAACTAAGTTCAATAAAAGCTATAATGCATCGCATTCCCTGTGACCAACAAGATAATAATATTGCATACTAACCAATGGATCAGAGGCCAAAATGTCATGGAATATTAAATCCCACAGCAGAAAGTAAGGACCTTAGGTATGCATATCAATTAGAACAAAGAAGTAACCTCCAGAATGTATCATATCTGTGGCCACAGTCTATCACTGGAATCCTAATAGTAATTCCCAGCAAGCTGTAATATTCTTTAGGCCATTGCTTTACTAAGGAAATGATATGGGGCATATCTACAATACCAGCTGAACAGTATTACCCTGGGAACTGTAATTCCATGATATAGAGATCTCCAACCACAGAATCAAGAAAGAAACTAGTGACCCATGGCTTGTACTTCTAAAATGGAATTCGAAGTCATCTTTGACTCTGCACACAGATGGGTTGTCACTCCCCACCATAGCTGTCAACTTTCCCCTTTTCTTGCGAGGAATCCTATTCGGGATAAGGGAATTTCCCTTAAGAAAGGGAAAAGTTGACAGCTATGCTCCCCACCTACGTACTATTCCCCTACGTACTATTCCTGTTTGATTGTCAATCACAGTGAAGATCACATTCGGTTTAGATCTGGATGTGGCACTCAGGACAGCACAGAAACCTTTTTCTGTAACAGAGAATTCTTAGCACCTTTGCTATGTGCTTACAGATCTATACCAACGTGCTTTACCCCTGCAAATGTCCATGCCTAACATGTGGACATTCATGCTCACTTTACTTCTAGTGTGACTTCTCTCAAGAATAAAAATCAAGTTCAGAGCTGTCTGTTGCAGCCAATAATTTTTTTGGGGAAAGAAAATCTAAATACACATCTGTACAAACAAATCATGGGATGGTTTTTGATTCCTTTACTGAACTACCACATCTTGCATGAGAACTCAAGGAATAATAGCATTAGCCACCACAGCTCAGGGGTTACGGTTTGAAGTGACCACAGTGGAAGGGGAAAAAACTGGTCTGAATGTACACTTAATATGACACACAGATCCTTAGCAGAGGAAGCTGTTCTTAGTTTAAACCTTATTTTTCAGTTACTATATGCTTACATTTATTTTTTCTAATTCCTGTGTAGTGCAATATAAAAAGCCCTACTGCCAGGCATGTTTGTGTTTTGGTCGAAGATCTTACCAGGTGCCACATTTTGCATTGATAGATAGCTTTTGGAAAGCATGTGATCTATACAATCTGATGCCAGGCTTTATTCACGCACACACACGCTAGTTCCTTCATGACTTACAGCATCAGGTGATAATCTGCATGTGTAAACAGACTGCCATGGGTACATCACCAGAAACAGAATTGAAATATATCATATAGCACAATGCTTTTTCACTTGAACCAGTTCACATATTCTGCTGTCTGCCATCCATGGTAATCAGGTGGCATACATGCATAGGCAAACCATCCCAGAAACTCCTGTAAGATCCAACTCATATAAAGTCAAACACTGTGCTGGACACATCATGCGTCCAAAAGCCACTACTCTGGAACACAAAATGTGGACACAGAAGTTGGAGGAGAGAGAGCCAGTAGAGGAATGTAGGCTGAAAGGTGCTGGTAATAATCATTGGTTTCTACTGGTGGGAAAGCAAGGAAATGCACCATGGTGATGTAAATTGAAGTTCCAGGGAGAACCAGTACTGGGCTGCTGGTTTTTGGCAACAGCTGCATGTGTACCATTATCATTTTAGTTCCAGCCTTTGCCTGGAAAGATCAGGGTTCAAATCTCAGCTATTAAATCCACTGGGTGACCATGGGAAGTTGCTGTTCCTCAGTTACACCTATCTCACAGGGCTGTTGTGAGGATAATACGGGAATCGCCATTTACGCTGGTTTGAGCTGCTTGGAGGTAATAGGAGGATTAAAAATGAAGAAATGTAGAGAAGTACCGTAGTTCCAATCTTAAAACAAACAAACAGTTAAGGGTGTTAAATATATAAAGGAAAAATAAGGTGCTCGGGCGAGGGGGAGCTGTGGTTAAGTGTAACCGAATCAAAAGACTCAATCACAGCTCAGTAGAGGAGGAGGGAAAGAGACTTGAGCAATCCCTCGCTGCAAATCATTGCTGTTCTTACTACGTTTCCCGGGCAGAGTATCGTGGCGTTCTATAACCATGGCAACCACAACAGTGTCTGCTTGGCGCTGAAAACCGGCGTCCTTAGTTACTACTTTCCCGGGAAATGGCTGGAGGTTTCCAACACACCACCAGCTCTGCCCTAATCTCCCGCCATAAAGCGACCTCTCCGCGCCACAAGCTCAATCAAACTCACAAAGCTGCGTTTGGCTGCAATGCTAATCGTCTCCATCTTTCCTAAAGATGTTCATATCATTGTAGTTAAGGTTAGTTTCTGAAACGATCTCGCCGTTTCCTCCAGTTTCCACCTCGCCAGCTCCGGTTTTATCAAGGGCGGGATGGGGTGGGAAGATGAGTTAATATTTTGCCTAGTACAGATTCAAAGGGGACAACATCGCAAATGCATCTAGCTGCCTCCCCATCGTTATTAGTCAGAGCGCCGATTTCCAAAACACGCGTTCGCGCACACTCACGTGATAATCTTTATACCAGTTCTCCAGCTTCTCCTGTAAAATCCTGCAGGTCTCGTTGTTGATCAGTCTTCTCAGGCTATCAGCCATGGCTCCCTTTCAAAGGTGAGAGAGATCAGGGGTGAATGGAGGATGGATCTAGAAGCTTTGCGGAAAGAGGCTTCCCTTCCTACAAAACAGCTAGCATCGATGTGCCTGCTTCCCGGGTATTTTACTTTTCTTTTTAGCTGCCCTAGAGTATCAAAGGTGGGAAGATCGGCGAAGGGAGATCCGCTGCTGCTTGTTGGCTTTGCGCTGACCTCAGCCTTATTTCCCCCCTCCGCGAGTCTCCTCTATGATTGGAGCATTTTATACTCGGCGATTGTTAAACAAACTGACGTTTGCTTTGCTCGGGTGCCAGGGACGCGGCGGCTGCGCGAAGGGAGCCTTTTGGTTGTAGCAACGCCGAGAACCCCACCTCCCTCCTCGGCCCTGCCCTCCCGGTCCTCCGGGTCTGAACTCGAGGAGCCGAGGGAAGCGATCCCGCTGGGTCTCTGCTGGAAGCCAAGAGGGGAAATCCTAGGAAAAGGAGCGCGCGTGTTTGTGTGTGTCTCCCTCCGCTAAATCAAATGGCCCAAGTTCGAGGAGGGGTTTCCTTACGCATCAGGAGACTCCCCACATGGTCTTCGTCTCTGCGGCCGCCTCTTCTCTCCCTAACTTGCCGGCCACCTCTCGCCAAGCTTGCAACTCGCGTGTGAGGCACAGCGAGGCCACAAAACGGCCTTTATTACGCTCACCGGAGATGCAATTTTAAAAAAAATAATAATGGGGGCAGAAATCAATCCCACGAGGGCTTTGCGCATAGCTGTCAAATTTTCCCTTTTCTTGCGAGGAATCCTATTCGGAATAAGGGAATTTCCCTTAAGAAAAGGGAAACGTTGACAGCTATGGCTTTGCGTAATAGGCATTTAAAAGACCAATATAACTCCGCCCCTGGGAAAGAGACCACGCCCACGACCCCTCCCCTCCAGGGGCTGTTGCGTCTCTTGGGAATCTCCATGCATGCAAGGAAGCAGGTCGTCAGTGCAGAGCTGGTAGCCGCTTTGCCCTCCCTCCCTCGATGGGTCGCACATGGAGTAGTTCAAAAATAATGCTAGATCACATTTAGGCGCTAAATGACCAAACCCTGTTGCTCATGCGCTCCTTCATCTTCTGCACTCTCCATTTCACCTCCCACATCAGATTTAGCAGCAAAATATAGCTTGCGGTTACATTCAGATGAGGCAAAGCATGGTTTTGCTGCTGAACCTCAACTGAGACAGGAAAGTAGAGCACAGTGTTAGTTTGCGTGGTATACTCATGAAATAATTCAATGTCAACCATATCAATATCCTAACTTTTAAAAACAAAAGCCAGTCACTTCACTAGCAAAATGCAACTCTGGGTGGGTCTACACTCACGCCCCAATTTTGGGGGGTGGGGTGGTTTAAGCCTTTTCCCAATCCAAATCCTTACCCCTTTGCTCCCTGTGAAATGGAATAATAAGGCTTTCCATGTGGCTGACTCGGAAGACTGGATTTCCTTGACGCCACAAATACTTTGCCATGTGCCACAATGCGCTACTGTTCAAGAAACACATCTTGGTTTTAAATGTTCCTTTGAAACTGGTTTGGCAGAATAAAGAGACTTTTGCACAACTTGTGGAGGGATGGTGGAGCTTTGTGTTTGTGTTGCCAGTTACCCGACACTGGTATGTTTCTGTCTCGAAGGGGACTTCTGTCTAAAGAGAGAACTTTAGATTTTGTGCTTGTGTTATGTGTGTAACCTCTTTTGAACGCTGATTTAAAAACCTTCTCCACAAACAGAAAGCTTCCACCAATAGGCAGAAGTTTCTTAGCTCTGCTATGCTGGTTTTCCATTTTCAGGGAGTTTCAAAGACATGGAGTTTTTTTAAAAAATGATGCAACTTTCAGCAGTGTATTATATACCAGCTTTTCCCACCTTTCCCCCTATGCTGACTGACTCAGTCTAAAGAGAATGGGGCCCTCTGGTGGCACAATGCAGTATGTGCCCACTTGATCTTCAGATAAATACTGTATTTATTTTAAATATACAGTATTGAGCCAACAGATGCATTAGGCACAAGGCAATACGAGATATATTGATTTCCGAGTAAAACCTGTTATAGACAAGTATTCATACATTCCGCCACGCTGCCATAAATTTCCCTTCACGCGCATGACAAATGTCTTTTTTGAAAACACCCCTCCCTGATATTTCCTTAAAGGGTTTTAGAACATATTTTGGGGGGGAAGTTTGAATGCCAGGCTCCCACTCTCAGCTTTGGCCACTACAATTTGTTAGAAAGAATTTCATATTGTGGCAAAAATATGTCTTTTACTTGTTTACTTCACATGTTCCACCCAATGTATTTTTTTGTTGATTGTAGGTTACTTGCACGGGTCCAAAATGTGTGACCTCACTCCCAACTTCTGAGTAAAGATTTGCATGTAATAATAATAATAATAATAATAATAATAATTTATTTATTTATTTATATCCCACCCATCTGGCTGAGTTTCCCCAGCCACTCTGGGCAATCGAGTGTTAAAAACAATATAGCATTAAATATTAAAAACTTCCCTAAACAGGGCTGCCTTCATATGTCTCTTAAAAATAGGATAGTTGTTTATTTCCTTCACATCTGATGGGAGGGCATTCCACAGGGCGGGTGCCACTACCGAGAAGGCCCTCTGTCTGGTTCCCTGTAACCTCACTTCTCGCAATGAGGGAACTGCCAGAAGGCCCTTGGTGCTGGATCTCACAGTCCAGGATGAATGATGGGGATGGAGATGCTCCTTCAGGTATGCAGGACCGAGGCTGTTCAGGGCTTTAAAGGTCAGCACCAAAACTTTGAATTGTGCTCGGAAATTGACCGGGAGCCAATGCAGATCTCTCAGGACCGGTGTTATGTGGCCCCGGCAGCCACTCCCAGTCACCAGTCTAGCTGCCACATTCTGGATTAATTGCAGTTTCCGGGCCACCTTCAAAGGCAGCCCCATGTAGAGCGTACTGCAGTAGTCCAAGCAGGAGATAACTAGAGCATGCACCACTCTGGTGAGACAGTCCGCGGGCAGGTAGGGTCTCAGCCTGCGTACCAGATGGAGCTGGTAGACAGCTGCCCTGGACACAGAATTAACCTGCGCCTCCATGGACAGCTGTGAGTCCAAAGGTCTGTGCACCTGTGAGTCCCAGGCTGCGCACCTGTTCCTTCAGGGGCACAGTTACCCATTCAGGACCAGGGAGTCCCTCGCACCCACCCGCCCCGTCCCCCCAAAACAGTACTTCTGTCTTGTCAGGATTCAACCTCAATCTGTTAACTGCCATCCTTCCTCCAACTGCCTCCAGGCACTCACACAGGACATTCACCGCCTTCACTGGTTCTGCTTTAAAACAGAGGTAGAGCTAGGTGTCATCTGCATACTGCTGAACACCCAGCCCAAACCCCCTGATGATCTCTCCCAGCGACTTCATATAGATATTAAAAAACATGGGGGAGAGGACAGAACCCTGAGGCACCCCACAAGTGAGGGCCCAGGGGTCTGAACACTCATCCCCCAACACCACTTTCTGGACACGGCCCAGGAGGAAGGAGAGGAACCACTGCATGACAGTGCTCCCAGCTCCCAGTCCCTCTAGACAGTCCAGAAGGATGTTATGGTCGATGGTGTCAAAGGCCGCTGAGAGATCCAGCAGAACTAGGAAATAGCTCTCATCTTTGTCCCTAACCCGCTGACAATATGGCACCATATAAAAACATGATCTATTCTCCATTTTAACATGAACACTTTGCTTCCAAAAGAAGAGACAAAGTCAGTGTAATTAAAATCTACTTTAACAACAACAGCAAAAGTTTTATTAAAAAGCAAAGAATTAACACACCGAATAAAGGAAGTGAAAATATACGGAAAGCCAGCTTCTGTTCTGACTATTTGCAGTATCTGTCAGCTTTCAATTTTGATCTCCTGCAAGACAAAGTGGGGTAGGGGAAAGGCAAGGTAAAATGATTGGTACATCTAAGTAATACAACTGTCAATAAAGTAGAATTAGTACTGGCACACTTTTAAAAGCCAGAGGTGGTTCATTATTAATTTCTATTTAGGGCAGGAGTGACAAATTTATTTTGGCTCAAGGGCCATATTTCCCCTTGGCCAATTCTCCAGGGGCTGCATGCCATCAGTACGTGATGCCAAAAGTGGATGTGGCCAATTCACACCTTCGCACAGAACTTATACAAAGCTACAGTCCAGTTAGCTTACCATCTCTTTGCCATGTAAACTGATGGAAAGCATGATTAAAGTTAATCAAAGACTGAAGCACATTCTTTCTACAGTGCTAAACAGCTCTGTTAACAGTCACCTGAAGTCTGATAATGCCATTATCGAGATTGCACAAGATATGGACAAAGAATAAAAACAGCGATGAGTATGTACGTTTCAGTATTGAAGTTCATCATACACAGGCACCACTAATGATAAGAGTTTACTTTTAAGAAGGCAATCAGTCATGGGTTGTAATGCTCAATGGCACTCAACAAAATGTTTTTTAAAATCCCTCTTGGAAGAGCTTTGAGTAGCAGCTGCATGTAAGTATAGCTGCATGAAATCTGCCAGTATACATTAGCACATTTTGTAGAATACGGCAGATTAAGGACAAATTCATATCCACATGCCCACCATCTGACAACTGCAACGTCAAGGGATGGATGTGCACATGTGAAGCAGCCAGAGCTCAAAACAATCCAGAGCTTTTCCATCACTGGAGGCCACCATCCAATATCAATGCTTTACATTCAGCTGAACCCTTGTCTACACAACATCCAGTTAAATGGTTGAACTGTTGCATTGCTTCACAGTGGAAGCAGCATCAGCTGCACACATGAACACTCCCCTATGGGAAATTAGGATCACCTCATGTAGAAAAGTCGCACAGCACAGAGAGAGCAAGCCATACTTCCTGATAAACTCATTTTTGGTGTACAGGGCATTTTTGTAAAACAGCTCTTATAATACTGTGTTTGCATGTTCGTGGGGTTTGCTAGCACAGCTGCTCAGCTTGTCTGACAACTGCCATCCCATTGCAACAGAAAGAGTACCTGTCCAACAGTGCCTCGTGAAAGGTGCCTTCTTTCCTAGCTTTTTTCAGAGCTTTACTGTCTTCTTGGCTTACTTTTAGTTTACGGTCTTGAAAACTCTGAAACTTCTTCCTGGAAAGAAAAATGCAGAAGGTAAATATCTTCAGCCTGTACGAAATACAGTGGCCGAGTGTCGATAGGACTGCAGCCAAAACAAGCCCACTGAGAAATAAAAAATGTAGGGTATCAGTGAACTCCAAGGGATCTAAGAGGTATACAAAGTAAAGGAGAGAGCCTTGGGGACTGAGCATGCCCAGTTGCTTCCAAAAACCACATAATGTGGAATGCCAGCTGGAAAACTGTTGGGTGTGGTGGGGTAGGGCAGTGAATTGGTCTGCTTTGAGATCCTTCCAGTTTGTGCTATCTTGGAGGACGACACATTCCTGTTAGGGGTGAGGATAACCTTCAGCAAGCTGTTGCAAATCACACTTGCAAACATTAATAAGCCTATAGTAAGGTAAAGGGACCCCTGACCATTAGGTCCAGTCATGGCCGACTCTGGGGTTGCAGGGCTCATCTCGCTTTATTGGCTGAGGGAGCCAGCGTACAGCTTCCGGGTCATGTGGCCAGCATGATTAAGCCGCTTCTGGTGAACCAGAGCAGCACACGGAAATGCTGTTTACCTTCCCGCTGGAGTGGTACCCAGTTATCTACTTGCACTTTGACGTGTTTTTGAACTGCTAGGTGGGCAGGAGCTGGGACCGAACAACGGGAGCTCACCCCGTTGCGGGGATTCGAACCGCCGACCTTCTGATCAGCAAGTCCGAGGCTCTGTGGTTTAACCCACAGCGCCACCTGCGTCCCAATAAGCCTATACCATGCATTTAAAAGCCCCACTAAGGAATTAAAGAGGTATTGTGGGTGGGGGAAGAAAGGGTGTTGCGTTTGTTATAAAACAAATATCCAAAAAAATCATAAAGTTCCATTTATGGATTATACTAGGGATAAACAGAAAGACAAGTGGTGCAATGTATCAGGCTTGCATCTGAAAACAAAAGCACATCTCCTTGTCTTGTGAAATAAAGTTGGTCCTTAGAACAAAACCCACCAGATCCTCATGATGATAAACTTTCTTCAGCTTTTAACATGTTTACACAAGGATCGGGACCCGAAGGTTTTCGATCAAGGAAACTTGGGGTTATTTGCATTCCAATACAACTTGCTTTTGTTTTATTTTTAGCCAAGAAACCCTTGTTACGTACACGTAATTGATTTCACATTGCTTAACATTTCCTTGGTCTTCTTCCGGAATGTCATCCTTTTGCTTGGCTTCCTTTTCAGCACATGTCCTGATCTAAAAAGAAGCATGGGGAGAGACAGTGCTATTTTACAGTTGGTTTAACTGAAAAAGTTCAAAGCCCAAAATATCCTATCCTCTCTCTTGATATTATCCTTTCCTGATTTGCTTTCCAGTTTCACTGGACACTGAATGCAACAGTCACACACCAGTATGCAAAGGAGCTTCTCTGACAAAATCTTCTTGTAATGCCTCTGCAAATGCATTTACACATATATGCAAACTGAAGAAATATCATATTGACATATCACATTAGCAACAGTGGTCAATATGGGGAGACAGGGCGTGCATACTGCAAGGACTACTGGGGGAGCAGGAAGAAATCGAGTATCCAGCTAGGTTAGAGCACATGTCTAGTTTCCCCTGGGCAGGGTAGAGCACTCTGCTATGCAAACTGAAGCCCTATCTACCTTCTGAAGCAATGCAGTCCAAAACCCAGTTTGACTCCTCACCAGCTCTTTCAGCTAAAATCAGTGAGACTCCTCCCTTCCAGTAAAAAAAGAGAGAGAAAAAGTTCAGAACAGAAATGCATTCCAGTTAAAATGGATGCTCCAAGTCATCTGACCAGGCAACATATGCTTGGGTTAAACAATTATTTTGCCTGTGACAGCCACTGAAGAAGTTCCACACTGAAATGTTCTGCCCGTTTCTGCATTTTTCCTTTAAGCAGTCACACAGACAAATATAAGAACTGCACATACAGGCCATTTGAATTACCTTAATCATTTCCTCGTTATCTGCAGTTTTACTTTTGGCTACAATATCGCCTTCTTCATTACAGCTGATAAAACAGCTGTTTGCTGCTAACAGCGCCATTTTCCCCTGAAGGGAAAAAATAAAATCAAGACAAATTAGGAAGACTATTATTATGTTCCTACAAGAACGTCTCACAATTTTATCCGATATTACTTCAATTGCGCTGAAACAATCCACTTCATTCAAAACCTGTTCATTTCAATTTAAAACTTAAACTCATTCCGCATGTTGATTTAAAAACTCATAATTAGCCGTCTTGTCATTTTATGACAATTACAACATTGGCATTTGAGAATGCAATTCAGAATTCAAACTTGGTATTTGTGGATCAGTTTCAACGCTGCATTTGCCAAGCTAAACATTATTTTCAAGGCTATAAAACTATTTCAGTATGATAGAATGAAACAGCCACTTCTGAAATTTTGATATGGCCTCTCAGTTAATGTTGCATCACTGCCATCTGATATCAATAAAAGCAGCTATAATCTAAAACCATTGCATTATGTATTAAGACATTATGTATTAAGAATGACTGCTGATACTTGCCTCTTGAAACACTGGCTCCCACTGCTCCCTCGAACCTATTGCATCAGAACGTCCAATAACCAGCCCATCTGAGTTAATGCCAAGGTATTTACCATAGCCAGATTTCAATGCAATTCTTAGAAAAAGAAACAAATAAGCAAGTTATGACATTGGGAATTGATTAGTTCATTATCAAGGGCTATGGTTTTCAAATTATGTTCCAGGATCTTTTGAAAGTTTGTTTGTTTTAATAACTTTCATTTTCCAAATTTCAGTTTTATAACAATCATGCAAATTACACAAACTTTCCAATAAAATACACCATTTGACTCTCTGCCTTCTGTGGTTTCTTATGTTATAGTTTGCTTGCTGGATCTTTGAATTAAGTCCAATTATTATTTAATCACTAATATTTCTTTGACAAATATGCTTATCTGCTTGTTGATCCTGCTAATTAATTCAGTTGTTTACAATAGTTTTTCAGATAGTCCACGTATTTTGCCCATTCTTTATTAAAAGTTTCTTCTTCTTGGTTTCTTATTCTTCCATTAAGTTTTGTCATTTCAGCATAGTCCATTAATTTTGTTTGACACTCCTCCTTGGATGGTGAAAGCTTGTAATCATAAGAGAAGCGCTTACTGAAGTCTCAGAAGCCAGGAGTATTGAATAAGATTTCAGGTAGCTGCATAGGTCTATTGTCCCCACCCTCAACTCTACCAGAAACAGAACAAATTACCCAAAATAAGAACAAACAACACAAATAAGCTTACTTTAGGCAAGTTAGAGAATTAGAGTAAACTTGGAACAACTTTATTTTCCTCTGCAGAGAACAATTCTGCCTAATAATCTATAAATCACAAATGCATGCTTTAGCAACTGCAGGGGTGTCACGACCCAACTCTGAGTCAGAAATTTTTAATCCATGCATCCATGGACATGCACAAGATGTACTCTCCCACATTCCTTTATTTAGGTCTCACATCTAGTTTATCAAAGGGGCAAAACACTGTTTCTAAGCTAGGATTAGAAAGTAAATCTAAGGAAAGGCAGTTTCAAACACTCTTGTGTCCAGTAACCTAAGAAAGCCTGGTTAACTTAATGGTTAATATAAAGCCAAGGTGAGTAACTACCTTGAATCTGAAAGCTTGACAGCAGTAAATTGTTCAGGAGGATATGGCCCTTCATCTGGAAGCATTAAAAAGAAATTAGACACACACAGGCCAGAGAATCCTGTTATGAACTGCTGATGCAAGAGAAGATACCAAAGGCGCTGGGGATGTTGTGTTGTATCCAATTTTAGCCATACTCAGAACAGACCCATTTAAATGAATGCATGTGACTAATTTAAGGGCAAAAATATTAATGGTTCTACTGCAAGTTATTTTGTTTTCCCATTCTCAATGCACACACGTCTCTGTTTTCCATACTGAAATAAATAACAATCCACTTATATAGCAATAGGTTGGTTTTCTGATAAACATTTTGCACTCAGCTACTAGAGCACAAGAGGCAAATTTGTACAGGATAAAGGCTACACTGGTCCATTTTCAAAAACTGACAGCTAAATAATGTGGTCAGCATAATTTACCAAAAATTCATTACTATAAATAAATAACTTAGATATGTGTGGGAAGGTGCACAGTCTGGAAACTCTTTTGGACTTATTTGGAAAGATGGGTCATAGTACAGTTGGTGCCACAGGGCAATACAGAATCATCAAAATAAGTGAGGCTTACTTACCCATGCCAAAAATGAGATAAGGAGGGAGAAAATTTCCCTCCACTTTTGCCCATACCAACCTTTATGTGGTGCTCCAAGGGTAAAAAGGCCATTGTCAAGAGCACTGATATAGGTTCCAAGACCCATCTCTATCGCTACGGTTCCTGTGATTTCACCAAAATTTGAAACAGTCCACCACCCTTCTAATAAGAGAGGAAACAAAAAAGAAACAAGAACACATTTGTTTTCTTCACAATTGCTTGCTGGGAATGTTTTGAAGAGATCAAGCAACAAAGCAACTTTTCCATCTTAACCAAGCATAATGCACAATGACAGTTTACTTAATAAACTTAAAAACTGTTAGTGACAAGAAACCATTAAATAGCTGAAAAGATCTTTTTATAATCTTTGGTTTGGGAAGAAACAAGTTCTGCAGTCTTGAAAGCTACTAAGAACAAATGCTTCTGGCCAGGCATACAAGAAAGCTGCAGGACTCCTTATTTGATCATAATGCAAGCCCTCATAGTTTGGACATCAAAATCACACTAGGAATGTTGAATACAATACAGATATGGCAATTCAAATAAGTACAAATATGACATTCTGGATGCTTCCATCTACTTCCTTCATGCTCCTCTGAAGATCAGAGGCTGCTTAGAGCATATCTTGTAATGAATAGTCCATGTCTTTCGATTTTTATAAGGGAACAACTGAGAGTCAGCATGAAAGCATGATGCAGTGGCTAGAGACTTTGACCAGGAGTGGAGAGACCCAGGTTCAAATCCCCACTCAGCCATGAAACCTGTTATGAACTTTGGGCCAGTCACTGTCTCTCAGCCAACCTTCCTTACAATGTTGCTGTGAGGATAAAAGAACTATGTATGACACCATGGACCTATTGGTGGAAGGGGGGCATACAAAAATAATTAATACACAATAAAGTATGCTGCTTTTTAAAAGCAAAATTCTCAGTCTGATAGCCAACTAAGGCTCAGCTTACATGTAAAGCTAAGCTAACCCATGGCTTAGTGCAAATGTTTGGGCTCCTGAAGAGGAGGTCACAGCTGCTTTGCTCCTCCTCCAGTCATTTTACTGCTATGCTGAGCTAAACTGTGGTTTGGCTTAGTGTGTCATCTGAACTAGGGCTTGTGGTTTACCTCTTTCCAAGCAAACCATAAGCTGTAGCAAAGGTTTGTCTCATCCTTTACAGCTCACAGGTTGTTTGGAAGGGTTAAGCCACAAGACTGGGTTCAGACAACACACTAAACCAGAGGTTTTAAACCATTTTGAGTACACAGCTCCCTTGACATTATTTCTACGGCACCCCTGTGGGGCTCAGGAGCCCAGTTACATCACCCCATGCCTGCAGAGCTGGCAGCCTCTCACTCTTTTTCAGACACCCTCGCTTGTGGAATGTTCCCTCAGCCTCCTCTCCTCTCCACTCCCTTGGGAGTCTTCTGGGCAGCCGCCACAGCCATCCCTGGTCTCTGAGCTCCCTCAGCTCCTGGCAGCCAGCACCCCCTGGCCAGCCCCAGAGACACCATTTGTCTGGGGAGCTTGTAGCCAGGGCTGCTGCAACAAACAGCTGTGCAAGCCATTGGGAGGCAGAGGCATGAGGGGGCATCAGAGGAGGGAGGGAAGGAAAGAAGGACAGAGACCAGTGTGGCCCGCGGCATCCCTGGCCATCATTTAAGGCACCTCAGGGTGCCACAGCACACTGGTTGAAAATCACTGCACTAAGCCGAGCCATGGCTCAGCTCAGGGCAGGGCAGCAGGAAAACAACTAGGGAGAAGCAAAGGACTACCAGTGTTCTCCTTCATGCCCCTTCGTGGAAAAATGAGCTCACCAACAATATCAAGTTTATCCTCAGCATCTTCATCTCTTTTCCGTTTTTTATCTTTGTTTTTCTTCTTACTGCAAAATGACACAAAGGGGAAAAAATCAATTGCATGCTTTGTGTATGATACACAATCACCGAACAGGTACTACCAAGAGAAACAAACATGTTTCATGTAGGGAAAGATGTGCATACCAGAGAAGCCCAATTTATCACAAAGGCTGCAAGTGAACGTGAACGACTATTTTGATTCAGACAAGGCACATGTTTTACTCCAGGGCTGCAGATGGCATCAGTGCTAGGACCTCCTCAGCCCAACAGAGAAAAGAGTCTGGGAGAAGTGTGTATGTGTGGGAATACTGGGTTGTTTTTATTATATATTTTGTGGTTTTATATCTTGATTTTATTCTGTGAACCGCCCTGAGACCCCCAGGTATAGGGCGGTATATAATAATAAATTATAAATTTATATATATAAATTCAATAAATAATAATAATAATAATAATAATAATAATAATAATGTGCAACTGCGATCTTTCGCCTTAATCAGGAGACAGGCTACTTACATAAAACCCCGAACTCCTGAGCCGCGAAGCGGAGTTTCTGCATATAGAAAGAGGCAGAACAGAAGGTGGGAAGCGCACAATCACAACTTAGCCTCGATCGGGCGCTTCCAGCAGGGCTCCTCTTTCGTCCTTAAAAAGCACGACACAGTTTTTCCGCAAGGAAGAGACGCCGGGGTTCAAAGCTCCCCCGAGGAAATCGTTAGTTCCTGACGCCGAAACTGCGCCCGCCCGAAATCACCATCGTCGTGGTGAAATGCCTCTGAGCGTGCGCAGAGCGCTTTCCCACCCTCCGCTAAGCGCAGCGGAGAGGCAGAATGCGCTCTGTACACGCTCAGAGGCATTTCACCACGACGATGGTGATTTTCGGACCCGGCAACCGAGGCCCGGACTCGAAGAAAGGAGGCAGGATCCCACCTCCTCTTCCCAGTACCTGGGGAAACCCGACCCGCAGGAAGAGCCTCACCTTTTCGATTTCGTCCCCTTCAGAACCAGCTTGGTTCTTCTGACAGCAGAATATTCCGCCATGTTTGGCCGCTTCTACGGAAGCCGCGGAGGGACAAGCTCCGCCCCTCCTCTTTCTTCCCACTGCCGTACGGCGGCCCTTGAGGGACACGCCGCGCTTTTCTCCTCCGGAGGCACTTGGGACGCGACGCCCTTGAGAGCTGCTGGCACGTTTGGCAGCGAGGGAGGCAGGCAGAGGGCGAGAGGGCAACCCCGGGCACGGGCTTCTCTTCCTGCCGCCGCCTCGCTCGCCCTCCTGGGCCAGAGGCAGAAGAGGAAGCCGGCAAGAGCCGGCGTTGAGTCAAAGCAACAGTGGGGCGCGGTGGGGCTCTTGGGGTTTTGATCATGTGTATCGTAGGAACCACAAAGCGGCTTACAAACGACATACCCGCCAACATCTCTCTGATGAACATAGGGACGTCCCATTCCAAAATGATTATTTTACCATTTATACCCCACACATCTTACTAGGTTGTCCAAGCCACTCTGGGCAGCTTCCAACATATATTAAAAAAATAATAAAACATTAAACATTAAAAAAACACACCTTCCCTATGCAAGATTGCCTTCAGACAGCTCAGGGATCGGATAATTTCATACCCTCCAACATTTCTCCAATGAAAATAGAGACATCCTACCACACTCTCCAATATTTCTCCAGTGAAATTAGGGACGTCCTAAGGAAAAGCAGGACATTCTGGGATCAAATCAGAAATCAGGATGGCTTCTCTAAATCAGGGACATCCCTGGAAAATAGGGACATTGGAGGGTCTGAAATGATGAGTAACAGTAAGATAACGGAACCTCACAAAAACATATCCCCCAACATTTCTCCAGTGAAAATAGGGACGTCCTATTCAACAACAACAACAACAGTATTATTTATACCCTGCCCATCAGACGGGGTTGCCCCAGACACTCTGGGCAGCTTTCAACATATATAAAAACATAACCAGACATTAAACATTTAAACACTTCCCTATACAGGGCTGCCTTCAGTCAGATGGCTTGTGGGTCAGGTAACTCCATACCCTCCAACATTTTTCCATTTCTTTCTCTCTCTGTCTTGAGAGGCAACGGAGTGTGCCTCTGGGGCTGAAGTCAAGGTGCTGGAGAATCACAGGGGCTGGTGTGGCTGCAATGACTGGTAACGCATCACTGCTGCCTCCAACTTTGCCGAGTTAGCAGCACTGAAGTGACTTCTCTGGGCACAAGCCTGGGTAGTGTGCATGTATGGAGGTATTGGACTCCCCAGACAACAAGACCCCCCTCTCAGCTTCAATGATGTGGTGCAAAGGAAAGCAGAGCAAGATGTTTGGCATCAGCGTGGCTGCAGGAGTTGCTGGGAGGAGGCATACAAGATGCCATCCAGCTGTCTTAGGGACTCCGCTCTGGATTTGTGTAAGATTTACTCCTTAGCCTTTTCTTCTCCATAAGATGTCCTGCAAGGCATTGAGCATAAAAGTCAATAAAAGCTGGTTATTAGCAATCTCCTTTCTACACACTGGAAGAAATCTACTTTGGATATTTCCCACTATTTCCACCAGGTGTTGCTGGCACTACAAAAATAACTCTAGATCCAGGAAAGGAACAAGTCTTGTCAGAAATTCACAGTACACTATAGTGGACTTTGCCGGCATTCTGCCGTTGAAAGGAAGAAAGTGGGGGTTATATGTTGGCCCTCCAGGTCAGGGTTAACACTTCACTATTATACTCAGTATGAGCAACCCAAAATCACAAAGCTTTTCAGAGAGCTTTGCCGTATAACAAATTTTAAAATTTAGTACAGTGGTCTTCAGACTGTGTTGCATGGCCCTCTGAGGTTTCTTGGGAAATTAGTTAAGGTTGCCTGATCTGTAATGGTGGATAAGCACTCCTGAAAGAGAGTTTGCCCACCATTGCATGGGTGTTCGGCGTGGGTACAGTCTCACACCTCACTGCATAATGGTTGTGCCCTAGAGACTCGACCAGCACTCAGTGTGAACCGACTTGCACCCTAGAACTGATGTCAGAAGTATTTTGCAGCCCACAGGAGCGCCTCCTGAGACACATCATGAAAAGTGTTCCCTTAGGCATAACTGTTGAAAGTCACTCGGTATACGATGGCTATTCTGACAAATCTCACAAGAATGAAAAACAGATTGTAGTGTTTATACGCCTCTCTTTGAGAGCCAGGAGATATATTCTCTTTCAAGCCCAAGAATCCTTTCCGAATTTTCTTTGAACTAAACCCTGTGGATATGCTGTATTATGAGTAATCCCTATATCTTTCTGAAAATATACACTCTGTGTTAGCTTGTGCGTAACCAAATTATTCTGAAAAGGCTTCTATATATAAGCTTATTTGCATTTATGCAAAATTCTGATGGCTGTTTGGCTAAATGAAGGTAAGATAAAAGGAAAATACTAGGAGCAGCCAATTAACAATCTTAACACTCAAGTTCCATTTTTTAAAAAGTAAGTGTGCCTGTTGAAAGCCAACCATGCAATGATTTTAATAGTGTCATTTGTTACAGTCTTATATCCAATTTAGCAAGTGAGATCTGCACTTGAAAATAGGCTTCCACAAGTGGAGCCCATATAAATTTACATTTGGATGAACATATGCATAGCAATGCCTGCTAGCTCCTTGTTGAACTGGCTGGATGTGTTTTGAGGTATATATAATTAGAGCTAGATTGGGACTTTAATTCTTTCCATGACATTAAAGAACTCAGCAAAAAGCATTATTGTGAAAAGCAGAGAAATAAAATGGAACCCTTATACGGTCTGGGTGTCAATATTCTATTTATTATTTCTAATTTTTATAGTCAGCACTTATTTCAGCATTATTTTTCCCTCTTTTTAGTGATATACTTATGGCAAAATCCATTATTATAGTATCAACTTGTGTTAGCAAGATTGGTCTCAGTAATGTTTTCTTATCAGCTAGCAAGCAGTGACTAAAATGGGCCTTTTAAAAGACAGCCATTTAGGTGCAATTTGACAGCTAGCATTTTTAAGAAAAATAAAAACATTGTATCCAATGTACTAGTTATGATTATTTAAACAATGAAAATGATTCAGTTTCCTGGTGGTGAAGGAAAGAAATGGAGCTTCATGTTTGTAGATGTAGAAAATGAGTAAACCTTTTTATCAACAACAAAACTGTAGTTGAGTTTTCCTGCAGGTTTCAATGCTGGTATAGGTGATTTCTTTTAGGTGGGTGGATCTGCATTTCCTCACATTACAAATGCCTTTCTTAGAACTTCCCTCCTCAAAGTTTTTTTTTCTTGATCTAGACCTTGAAAGGAAGGAGGAGATGGGGTGAAAGGATACTTGAGCAAAGCTCTGTAACACTAGGAGTTTTTCCTCCTTGGCTTCTAAAGTGTTCCATTCTCTCATTGTCCATGTAGAATTATGTTTCGAAATTTGGTAGTCTATATATTACTATTGAAGGACGACAAATCACGTCCTCCCCCTTTTGCCTCGTTGGCAGTGGACTGTTGATTCTCTGTAATTTATTCCCCAACATCAAATCTTAGGAGACAATGCCTGATGTCCTTTACAGTCTCCCTTGGTGCCTGCCCTGGCAGAGCTTAAAAGAAAACAAATCCTTGGCAGCATGTCCGTGTGCACTGCTGCTGCACTTCTTGGTGATAAAACTGTAAGTTTTTTCCTTTGAAAATTGTATTTACTGCCCCAGAGGAGCACTGTATCATTTGGTTATACAAATGCTTCTCTAACTGGCTTGAGGTGGTTGGTCTCCATCTCAGGGTTCTTTGCTTTGCCCTCCTGGATTTGGGCCTAAGTGACTTTGCTGTGTTTTCTCTCTTGTAGCGCTGGATTATCCTGGGTCATGTGTCCTGAATCCAGGCATTATTTTCACAAGAGACTGAAGTTTTTGAATTAAAGCATTAAACATGTTTTAATATATGTTGGAAGCTGTCCAGAGTGCTGGGGCAACCCAATAAGATGTGTGGGGTATAAATAGTAAAATAATCATTATGGAATGAGACGTCCCTATTTTCATCGGAGAAATGTTGGAGGGTATGTCCTCCACAAGAGGTCTGGAAGACGACAACATATGAACAGGCCTTTTCTGTAGTGGCTCCCCACTTGTGAAATGCTCTCCCCGGGGAAATTCAGCTGGCACCTGTGGCACTGTGGTCTAAACCACTGAGCCTCTTGGGCTTGCTGATTGGAAGGTCAGTGGTTCGAATCACCGGGACGGGGTGAGCTCCCATTGCTTTTCCCAGCTCCTGCCAATCTAGCAGTTCGAAAGCATGCCAGTGCAAGTAGATAAATAGGTACTTCTTCAGTGGGAAGGTAAGCGGCGTTTCTGTGCACTCTGGCTTCCGTCACAGTGTCCTGTTGTGCCAGTAGTGGTTTAGTCATGCTGGCCACATTACCCGGCAAGCTTTCTGTGGACAAACACCCGCTCCCTCGGCTTCAAGCGAAATGAGCGCCACAGCCCCATAGTCACCTTTGACTGGACTTAACCATCCAGGGATCCTTTACTTTGACTTTTTTATATACACCTTTAGGCACCAGGCAAAGACGTTGCTCTTTAACCAGGCCTTTGGCTGATTGACACCCAATGCCCTTTTAAAATGTGTTGGGGTGGTGTTCACTGAGTTGTTTTTGTTTTTATTAGGTATTTTGTGTTTTTATATTGTGATTTTATGTTGTAACTATCCTGAGACCTGTGGGTATGTGGTGGTATATAATAATAATAATAATAATAATAATAATAGGAGAGATGGATCTTTGGTCAGATCCAGCAGGGCTCTCCTTTTGTTTTTTTAAAAAAGGCTCAGTCTCATCCCTGTGTTTCAGACCACATGTAATTATTCTATAAGGGCAATTTGCAAATGGAACCAGTTACCTAGAGTGATGGTGGTGAGCCCTCCCTCACTGGAGGTCTTTGGGGTAGGCCGGACAGCCACCTGCTGAATATTTGTTTATTTAATAAAGTTTATACAGTACTCAATTGTAAACAAAAAAACAGAAAAAACCCTCAAAGCCGTTTACAAAAGATAAAGCAGTAAAATTAAGGAAAAAAATTGCAGCCCTACTTTAAAATAT